GGACCCCCCCCCAGCAGACCAGGGAGACGCGAAGCAAAGCCGCGGAGGACTCGGGCGGCAGGACCGCAGCGCGTCTGGGTGGTTCCCTCTGCCCGGGTCCTCCGCGGCTTTGCCCGTTTCCCTAGTCTGCTGGCTCCCCCAGCAGACCAGGGAGACGGGGAGCAGCTTTTCTCGCCCCGGAGGAGGCAGGCGGCGGGACCAGGCGTCCTGCCGCTCCAGTCCTCCGGGGCGAAAAAATCCCCGTTCGTAACTGCAGATCCTACGTAAGTCGGATCCGCGTAACTCGGGGACTGCCTGTACCAGCGGAACTGTTTCAACGGTTAACCGACACGCCTGGGCTCATTGGTTGCCGTTCGTGGTTACGCACAGCCTCCTGGCCCTGCTCCCGGGGTGCCGGTTCTCTATCGGAGCCTGCAGTGCAGGGAGGCTGTCAGCTCCCCGGAAGCAGGGCTGGGAGCGGGGCCAGGAGCCGGCTCCCCAGGAGCGGAGTGGCAGGCAGGAGCCGGCTGTGTGTAACCGCTGAACATTGTCAGCAGTTACCTACTTTGCCGCTTTTTAACATCCCGAGTTTGGGTAGCGACCCCAGCGGTTCCCAGGGTCTGAGCGAGGGCAGGTTTCATCAGAAAGGATCTGCCTAGCACCCGCGTTTGGTGTCTCCATCTCCAGTGGCCTAGGATCAAGGCCTCTCCTCCTGCCCGTTCCCAAATACAGCTGGGGCATTTTAGCACTGACCCAGGCCAGCCTTCTGCCAGGGCATGGGATGCCTTCGTTGGTTCCTCTCCTTCACTTAGCGAGAGAGCCACCTTCCACGATCGTGGCCGTGGCGAAGATCAGAGCAGGAAGTGCTCAGGCTGACTCGCTAGATGAATACTAGGACATGTTCTTCCCCAACGCCTGTTCTGATTAGGTCCATGGGAGAAGGATCAGGCACCAGGGCCGTAAAGCAATGACGCTACAGCTGGGCTGGTCCGTCTGATCCCTCTCTTGATGGATTTGTGTTGATGAGCTGTGTTGTGCTTCATGCACCATAACGAGGTATTTTGCGCCCAGGGCAAAGTATTAATTATGCGCCCCCTTCTCCTTGGGGTAGCAGGCCTTGTGCTCTTTCCTTTTGCAGCGTATTATTTTTACTTATCACGTCTTTGCGCCCTTGATGATGAGGTGCCTGGGGTGAGCGCCCCACTGCCTTGTCCTAGTTACGTGGACATGGAAATGTTTATGTTTCTGTTCAATTAGCGCGTGTCGTTTTTAGCAGGTCGCTGGCCATGGGGTCCGATAAACCTTGAAGCAACCCAGAGACCTAAACAAACCTTCCAGGCCTTTAGATTTTCAAAAGAATAAAACAATCAAAGCTCCTTTGAGGGTCCCTTCCAGCGAGGTTCCCGGTCCAGATCCCGGAGGGGTTTGGAGAAGCAGCCGAACGGTTTGGGATTCAGCCGTGTAAAGGAAGGCCAGGGACGTGCCAGGGGAGATGTGGCTGGCAGAGTTAGCTAGTGCTTCTTCCACTATTTGATCTGAGGAAGTGGGTCTGGCCCACGAAAGCTCATCATCTAATAAACCATCTTGTTAGTCTTTAAAGTGCTACATTGTCCTGCATTTTGCTAGTGCTTCTTGGCAGAAGATGGCAAGGCCATGTGATGTGGGGTTTAACCAGGCTGTAACTTTCTTGGCACGTTACATTCATGGGGGGACAGCCTGGCTTGGTCCCTCGCATCCCATTGATCCTGGGTGAATTCCTGCGGGGCCCCCATTGCAGGGGGAGCCGGTCATCCTAGGAGGAAAGTCTGTGGGCAGCTCCACTCCCCCGCTGGCATCATTTCCCTTTGTAGGGGCTGAGTAGGAGGGGATCGTAACCCCCACCTAGCACTGCCATCAGGCGCATTGGACAGGCGGTCTCCTCACAGTTGTTCCCTGCTCCCGATTCACGCCCCCCATGGGGCTAGACATGGTGTCCGGTCTCATAAAGCGGTGCCCTCTAGAGGCCCCTAGATTTACCTTTTGGGATCTGGAGCCTAAATCCGCAAGTGCCTGTGCTGGGCACCAGCCAGCAGCTGACAACTAAACGACACCGAATTGGTGTCGGCCAGTCTGGCGGTGGGGGGAGAATTCCTCCCCAGCCCCCGCGTGGCAACTGCACAACCCGGGAAGACCTAGAGGAGGTGGTGGTGGGTTGGCTGCTGGAAACCAGCCCTCAGGAAGTGGCCCCATAGGGCTCCTCTCACGGCCCCAATTCCTGTGAGTCCTCCCACCGACCCCGGAAGTCCTGTGGAGATTGGAAATCTCACAGGCCCCATCCTGACCTTTTGCCCTTTCCCATCAAGGGCGCCACCAAAACACACCCCTTCTCAGCCCGGGGCCTTCCTAGCCAGGTATCGCCTCCTGCCTCGCTGCCCCCTTCCAGAGTGTGTTACAGACATCAGGGATGTAAGTTCTATGCAAGCCTTGAGACGAGAGGTAGAGATGGCCCCATTTCACACATGGGGAAACTGAGGCCCAGAGGGCTGGAGCCTGCCACTAGGGGAGTTCTGGAGAGCAGAGATTAAAGTCCCGAGGGACTTGCCCACATCACAGAGAGCGTCAGAGCAAAGCCAGAATTTAGAACCAAAAACTCAGGGCATCCAGTCTGGCCGTCGAGTCACCTGACCACGAATCTTGTGAAATATTAACCGCGTTGATCCACACTCCGTGGGAGAACTGAGCGGGGGTGAGGGGAGGCCAGCGGAGCGGTGTCGAAATGCTGACGCGTTGGTTTGGTTTCCTCCTCTCAGCTGAAGCGGAACAGGACCTGAAGAAATAAGCGGTCGGCTGGACTCTCTCGCTGCTTATAGTGGACTCCTACAAGCTACCCATTGTGTCCAGTGATAACGGTTTGGGATCAAGGGCCTGTGCACTCGGAGTGAGGAGCTGGTGACGCAAAGATCCCCCAGATTTCTGCAGGACACCCCCCTCAGAGATCTGCCCTGAGTCTGTGGGGGGGGGTGCTGGGGTGTCAGCTGGGAACGTGCGGCTGGGGGAACGGAAGGGAAATGCCATGCTGATCTCTGATTGCCCCGGGCGGGTTGTCTCTTCCTTATGAGGAATGTCCCACAGAACTTGTGGCAACTTCTGCCTTGCCCCATCTGGTTGCAGACTTGGGCCTCGTTAGGGCCCTACCCAATTCACAGTCCATTTCATGAGCCTAGGATTTAAAAAGTTGCAAATGTCGTGATTTCAGCTGCATAAACCTGAAATGCCCTGGCCCGAACGGGAGGGGGGCCAAGACGATGGTGGGGACCCTTTCTTCTTGCTTCTGTGCTGCTGCTAGTGCCGGTGCTGCCTTCAGAGCTGGGTGGCTGGGAGCCGCGACGGCTGGCTAGGAGCCCAGCTCTGAAGGCAGAACTACTGCCAGCAGCTGCCCAGACGTCAGGGTGGCATGATACGGCATTGCCACCCTGACGTCTGTGCTGTTGCCTTCATAGCTGGGTGCCTGGCCAGCAGCTGCCTCTCTCTGACCACTCCCCTCTGAGCGCAGTGCAGAAGTAAGCGTGGCTATGCCAGGACCTGCCCTGCAGCCCTCTTTTGGGTTGGGATCCCCAGGTTGAGAAACGCTGGTCCTCCCCGGTGACATCTGTATAGTGCAGGGTAAAAGTACACAACAGACCACATTTCACAGGGGAAGATAGATGGCTTGTTCTTGTTTGCATGGCCATGAATCTGTTAGCTCCCTAAGCATCGGGAATGTAGGGAAGCAAATGCCGTAACCCCTCCGTCATCAGATCCTACCCCGGCTCTCCCAAAACATCTCCACCTCTGCCCAATACCAGCTACTGAATTCCTTCTCCCCTGTCCATTATAAGCATGCAAGATGGGTGAAATCCTGGCTCTGTGGATGTCAATAGGAGTTTTTGAAAGGAGCCATCATTTCACCCTTTATATCCAGACAGAAATACAGAGCTAATGGGTGGAGATTTCTGATCTCTTATGCCCATGCTAATCCAGAGTCACTCCATCAAAATCAGTAGGGGGTGACACTGGATTTACTTGAGATTCCACTCTGGCTCCATTCTCACATGCTCTCTTCTGGTCTGGGATCGTAGTATGAATTGCCCTAGGTAAACCCTTCCAGGAAGTTTAGGGTAAGGATGTTTGTATGACCCTACCAGAGAAGGCTCTGGGTATTGTATCTCTTTTGCACATGATAGAAATGATTTTAGAAGTTGATTTGGTTTTATTCTGCCTTTAGCCCAATTCTGATCTCGCCGGGCACTGGTTTTAATTACTGTGTATCTCTGCTGGCCTGAGCACGGTTATTCCTGATTTACGTCAAAGTCAGGGAGCTCAGAATCGGGCCTGTTCAGCAGCAACTTGCATAACTCAGGTTTTGGAAATGAAGAGTGTGAATTACCTCTCGAGACTAACGGGCTATTTCATTGATTTCTCCTTGAACCAGTCTCTCGTGATCACCCTCTTCACCGCACTGCCCACCTAGGGTTGCCAGGTGTCTGGTATTGACCCGGACAGTCCGGTATTTCCTCCTCCTATCTGGTAAAAAAAAAAATCAGAAAATACCGGACACCTAAAATGTCCGATATTTTCTGATTTTTTTCTTCCCTGCCAGGAGGCCAAAATACCAGACACCTGGCAACCCTACAACACACTCAGCAACTGGGCCCAGCCCCCAGGCTCCTCTCAGACCCTGCCCCCCCATAACCCTCCTGAACCTCCCCTCCTCTCCACTTACCTGGTTCTACAGGGGAGCTCTTTTCCTGCACAGAGTAAGAAAACAAGATGGCCACTGGCAAAACAACAACAACAACAACAACACAAAGGCCTTAAAGGGGCCATGCTGGTTTTTTTGTATTTTTTTTCTCAACAACTTTCCCCCACTTTTATTCCCTCAACCGTGTTTTTTTTGGGGAGGAGGGGGTGTTCGGTATTTTTGGTTAAACCATCAGCCAACCCTATGCCCACCTCCGTTGCCATGGGCTGGAATGTGCAGATCTTCCTTCCAATGCTTGGCCCTCGGTGGCTCTTTGATCAGGGCCCCAGTGACCCAAGTACAAATGCGTTTGCTTTCTCCCCCTCGCGCCCCTTCTGCTGTCTCCTGGGGGGGCCCCATCCTGCTCTGCTCTGCGAGTGTGACCCTGGAGTAACTCCTGAAAGGCCGGTGGATTTATGCTACATGAAGGTTCTGATCCTGCTGTGTTTGAAGGCGTTGGTGGGGTAGGACACCACTGAGTCTAAGTGAGATCCAAGCCTGCTCCTCAGCTCTCAGGGCAATCTTGGACCTGCATCGGTGACAGCAGGGCTGCGGGAAGCCGCCTGTTGAACCACAACAGCCGTGTTCCGGAGGAGAGACGAGCAGTGCTCAGCATTATGCTGTTACCGCACAGCGAGGTGCTGGGTCCGTCCCCAGAGTGCAAAGATCTCGGGCACGCAGTCGGCAGTATTACGGTTCATCTGCACTGTGGGGCACTTTACCAGGCTGCTGCTGGGGAAGGGGGAGGTGACAGGGCCACCATACAAAGAATGTGACATCCCAGCTTAGTGCTGGGTGTTTGCTGCTGCTTTTGTACCGGCCTCTAACTATCGACCTGCTAATAAATGGTTGATTCATTGCCCTGGAGTAAGAACTTTCTGATGCGTTGCTGATGTTAACCCCCTGTGGGAAATAAACCCGAGTTTTTCTCGTCTGTTTTCCCGGATCACCGCCGTATGGAAGGGCAGGATTTGGAGGGAGCAAACATTTTTATGGTTTTTGTCTGAGTGCCGCCAGATGTGCTGGACAGATGTCTGAGAACCTGTCTTCCTCTCCATTTGTACAGAGCCTTGCTCCTGCTAGGAGCCACTGGTGTACAAACTGCTCATCAGAAACAAAAGTACCAGGACAAGGTTGCTTGTTGTGTGTTCTTGACTCTCAGGCCCTGCCTGTGTGCTTTGGTGCACCAGACTGGCCAGAAACCTGCACTTTGGACAATGCAGACAGCACCATTTATTGCCAAGGCAGGGTAGTCCAGGCTCCCCTACGAGAACGGAGACATTAAAATATGAGACCCCCAACTAGAAATGTGTTCAGTAGCAGCGGTGGTGAGTCACTCGTGGGGTTTGGATGGTGAGGGAGGCTCGGTTAGTTTGCAGTGGGTCTGACATGGGGGTAATCTCCAGCATTTGCCTTCGTTCGCTTCCATGCCTGGGGCTAGATGGCTTTTTTGGACCACGCTCGCCAGCGCGAAGAGTTAATCTGGAGTCTGCCGTGTGAGCCTCCTGTCTCTGCTAGGGTGAATCATAGACTCCCAGGGCCGGCAGAGACTTCAGGAGGCATCAAGTCCAGCCCCCTGCCCAAGGCAGGACCAGCCCCAACGCAATCATCCCAGCCGGGGCTTTGTCAAGCCGGGACTTAAACACCTCTAGAGATGGAGATTCCTCCCCCTCCCTCGGGAACCCAGCCCAGCGCTTCCCCACCCGCCTCGGGAAATCGTTTTTCCTAATCTCCAACCTAGACCTCCCCCACCGTAACTTGAGCCCATTGCTCCTTGTTCTGTCCCCACTGAGAACAGCCTCTCTCCAGCCTCTTAGGAACCCCCCTTCAGGGAGTTGCAGGCTGCTCTCAAATCCCCCCTCACTCTTCTCTTCTGCAGACTCAACAAGCCCAACTCCCTCAGCCTCTCCTCATTGGTCATGTGCTCCAGCCCCCGAATCATTTTTGAAGTCTGCCTCTTGGCTCGGTAGGGAGCCAGACAAGCCTTCCAGTGCCCCCTGCCCTGGACGGGGTAGCAAACCCTCTGCCTCCGGCTATTGCTGGGTGTGCTCCGACGGTACAGGGATGAGCACACCCGTCCTGGCTCGGCTCCCCAGCCGCTAATTGGATTCTTGTATTAGGTGCAAGTTGCTCCTCAATTGATTAAACCTTTGATCTCCCCCTGATCTGCCCCCGTCAGCAGCCGGCAAGGTCATCGGCTTCCGGCCTACTTGTAACTCCAGGACCTAACCACCGCCGCGAGTGCAGGGCTCTGCCTGCGTCTTGCATTCGGCGCTTCTGCGGAAAAGCCTGCTTGGAAATGGCTGGGACGCCTCCTCCCTTCCTGCAGCCGCGCCCAGGACCCCCCGTGACCCTCTCAGAGGGATTGCGGTGTTAGTCTGAGTCTGCAAAAGCAGCGAGGAGTCCCGAGCCACCTTAGGCCGTGCCTACGCCAGGAAATTATTTCAAAATGACTAAATTTGACCTCAGAACTCCCCATTTAGCAAATTCGAACGTGCGTGGCCCCACGATGGGGAAGCAGCGACTGCAGTCCGAGGCAGGCTCCGTGAATGTGGGCGCGCTACCTCGGACTCAGAAGCACCGGGGAGCTGGGGGAGGCCTTCCGGTGGCCAGTTAGTTCAAATTAGCAGCACCGGAGCATCCACATGAACATCAGTGTTACTCCTCCTGAAAAGCAGGAGTACAGAGTTTGAATTCCGCATCTCCTTATTCCAGAATAATGAGCTTGGTCGTGTGGACGCCCTGCTTGCTGATTTGTGCTTGAGGGACCAGGGCCGGACTAAGAGGTGGGCGAGCCGGGCAGCTGTCCAGGGCACCAACCGATGGGGGACGCCTAATGGCAGCTGCAAGGGGCGCACGGCATCCCTGATAGCTGCCATCAAGCACCGCACGCCCGACTCCCAGCAGGCTGCAGTGGCCGCCCGGGGTGGGGGCCATGTTAACCCCCGCAGTGCCCTTCCCCCTGTGGCCGTGGGGCCCTGCACGGCCTGCCCAGGCGGCCCCGGGCTGCATGTCAGCAGAGGTGGCCGGGCAGCACATCGCCTGTGCTGCTCCTTTGAAACGCTGCGGCGGCGTTTCAAAGGGGCAGCTCTGTGGAAGCCTGAGATCAGCTGGAGTCCCCGGCTGACCCCGGCTCCGTGCAGTGCTGCCCCTTCGAAGCACCGCTCCGGCACTTCAAAGGGGCAGCGCAGCATTAAGGCCTGCAATGAACGCGTGAAAAAAATGAACGCATTCATCCTGCCCTGTGTTAATCGCAGGCATTAACAGCCCTGTTGTTAATCAACAGCCAATTGACAGCCCTAATCCCTGTCGATCATGAAGACACAGCAGAACTGTGTCCCTGTCTGGAATAAGTCAATCACTTCTATATAATCAATATCGTTGTCCTATTGAAAAGAGTCCTTTTTTAGCTCAGCCCCAGCTGCGGGAGGGGGGATTCAGCCCCAGAATCAGATGTGGGGGTGGGTCAGTCCCAGATCCAAGAGGCAAAGAGGGTTGCTTGGGTGAGCCCTGCAGGGGGAGGGGAGACAGCTTGGGTAAGGTCCCCCCCCCCGGCTGTTTTATTTTAAAAAATATGGTCACCTGGAAGGGGAGAGGGTTAGGTGTTAGGATCTTTACTTGTTTACTTCTCCCTTGGAGTTGGGACGACTTCTGTTTTTTTCCTTTCTTGCTGCTTCGGTTTTCCATGTGCCCTCTGGTGGCGATGTGCATTACCGCGCCTTATCGGAGGGGCTCTGGCGCAGCTCATTCGGGTTTGCTGTCTTCTGCCGTTAATGTGCGTTAATTTTTTTAACGCGTTCATTCTGCCCGGCGTTAATCGCAGGCGTTAGCGCCCACGAATCGACAGCCCTCGTCATGAGCTTTTGTGGGTAAAACCCACTTCGTCGGGTGAGCTGGAGTGGACGTGACAGAGGCGGGGGATTTATAGGAACCACAAAAGAAGTGACTTGTCAAGTGTCGGACCGGTGAAGGACTCCTTGTGGCTGTGTCTAGACTGGCAAGGTTTTCCGCAAAATCATGTGATTTTGCGGAAAAACTTGCCAGCTGTCTACACTAACACTGACGATCTCATGTAAGATCGTCAGTGTCCTTGCGGAAATACTATGCTGCTCCTGTTCGGGCAAAAGTCTTTTTCCGAAAGACTTTTGCTTAAAAGGGCCAGTGTAGACAGCACAGGACTGTTTTCCGCAAAAAAGCCCCGATTGCGAAAATGACGATCGGGGCTTTTTTGTGGAAAACTGTGTCTAGATTGGCCACGGACGCTTTTCCACAAAAAGTGCTTTAGCGGAAAAGCATCCTGCCAATCTAGACGTGCTTTTCCGTTAAAAGCATTTTCAGAAAATCATGCCAGTGTAGACGTAGCCGCCGAGTTTCAGCCATTTTCATGCAGGACTGAATTACCGTGCACCTCACCGGGCCTCCGGAGGGCAGGCAGGGGGTGAGTTAGGGCCTGGGCCTGCAAAGCGTGAGATGCTCGCCCCATTGACCTAGATGTGGAGACAAAAGGGGAGAGAGGATGGAAGACGGGCAGAGCCAGGGCACAGAAGACAGCATAGGTGGGGTGAAGCCCTGGAAAGCTTTGGAGACCAGGAGAAGCCTGGGCGTGCCAGGGACGTGGTGTGAAAGCCACCGTACTATATCATCTCA